TTTTTAGCAGAGACATGCAGCAGAATACATTTTGGCCTAAATTTATGGCGAAATGTGATTCTTAAAATGTTTAATAACAAAAAGTCAAAAATATTTTTTTCTCTCAAAATCGTCAGACATTTATAGCGCAAAAAATAAAAAGCACATAGGCGATCAAATACCACCAAAAGAAAGCTCAGATTGTGGGGAAAAAAAGGACATACATTTCATTTGGGTGCAGCGTTGCATGACTGTGCAATTGTCAGTTAAAGTAACATAACACAAAAAATGGCCTGGTCAAGAAGGGGGGTAAATCTTATGGGGGGGTAAATCTTCTGGAGGGCAAGTGGTTAAATTGGGAAAACATCTGATCACACCGAACTTTGTGTGATTAGATGCTTTTAAGGGCAGAGGAGAGACCTGGAGTCTAATAGACCCAAGATCTCTCCATAAAGAGTACCTTGCACTGCCTATTGCTATCCACAGGGGGATATTTATATTCGGTGTGGTAACAAAAAAAAGTGGTTTAAAATTTTTTATTTTTAAAGCAACAGTGTAAAAATAAAATAAATACACACAAACAGTGAACATCCCACACATGAGGTATAATCACGATCAGATCGAGTGCAGTAAATCTAGCACCAGACCTCTGGTGTAAATCTAAAGTGGTAATCTGTAAAGGCTTTTCAAGTTGTCGCCTAAGGATAGTAAACTATACAGGTTGTCACCGTCGCACAGGTGTGCGCAATTTTAAAGCTCTTGACATGTTTGGTATCTATTTAATAAGTGTGACATCATATTTTCAATTTTACCAAACAATTGGGTATTTCATTGTGTTTTTGTGAACTAAAATTAGAAAAAAAATGTATTTTTTCCAAACAATTGTGTTTGAAAAACAACTGTGCAAATACCATGTGACGTTAAAAAAATTGCAACAAACACCAATTTATTCTCTAGGGCCCCTGCTTTAAAGAAATATATGTTTGAGGATTCTAAGAAATTTTCTATCAAAAAATACTGATTTTTACAAAAAGTGTCAGAAAAGGCCTGGTCTTAAAGTGGTTAAATGAAGTCAGTGACAATATCTTAAGCTTGCTCAGTTTTACTTTTCTCCAGTTTTTCCAAACCAACTCTGCTATATTTTGCCTAAATAGACTTTTAAAAAAAAAAAAAAAACATATTTAACAGTAGGGTGTATTGCAGTTACTTACAGGGGGGTGAAAAGTCTAGCAAATTACCACAATTAACCTACCAGCATTTACTCTTGACACATACAAAGGGTGAAATTACTGAAAACAGCATGAAAAGGCTTATGAGAATGTAATAAAGAAATAGGATGTTTACTTAATTAGGTCTTTATACATTATGTACATTTTGCATATGAAAACATTTAAATGTATATTTTTAAGCCTTCTAGAAGACCCTGCCCACATAATCACCCTCTGCAAGTGAAAAATTTAGACTCTACATAAATTTAGTAAAAATGAAAAAATAACTACTTTCCATATGCATTCATTTAATTTACATATATCTATCATAATCCAATTACTCTTAGCTTTCAAAATTTACTTCTACATACAGCACATTTCTGTAACTACCACTCTGGTAAGTTAACAAGGTTAAAAAGCAAAAGGTTGTTCACTGTATGCATGTTTGCTATAACAATGTTTCCCAACCTTTTTTCAGTCAAGGAACCCTTTAATATTATGGACAGTCTTGAGGCACCCCATTCTAAAATGTGAAAAACTAATCTAATAGTTTTATATAATTTAGCAACACCCACACATGTAGGACACCCAACATTAGAGGGGATTTATTCTTCCAAAGCAAATACACTTTGCACACTGGTACTGACTAGTATTCCAGTGTTTCTCTTCTCCCTCAGCTTTTCTCCATTACTGAGCTAATGTGACCCCAGCACTGATGGAGAGGGGCAGGGGGAGGGTCAAACTAGTATGCTGTGCAGGAAGCGGACATCCTCCTTATCAACTGATGTCATTGGTTGTCAAAACGCCGGTGGTTAGAAGGTCATAATGGTTTACAATGAAAACCTGTGGCTTTGTATAACTAAAAGGCAGGCTTGTTCCACCTGCTGGCTTGTAGACATGTTTTGGGAGATTTTTGGACATTTTGCCAAGGCCCCCCTGAAGAAAACTCAAGGCTAAGAAAGGCTGTGCTCTAAGTTACACTGTGCACACCCTAGTCTGTATATGTATACACAAGGCCAAATTTCTTCACAGACTATGACCTAGGGCAGCAGGCCTCTCAGAGGTGGAAAACAGTCCAACTGACATCATGTGGCTTATGGTCTTCAAACTTGTTTTACTGTATGATAGTTAACACTGCCATCATTACTGCCACTGAAGTCCAGCAGGGTCCTCATTCTTGCTGCCTCTGAACAGTTTGTGCAATTTTACTGTGCAAATAGTGAACATTTAGAACTGCGTCCTCTTAGGGCATTTTTTTTTAATTTTGAAAACAGCCAAAAGTCACAGGGTGCCAAGCCTGGGGAATAAAGGAATGAATTTCTGGGCCAGGAACTCGAATACATAACACTGCATGTGCAGGAGCATTTTCATGGTGGGATTCCACTTGTCAAGCCAGAGTTGTAGTTCGTGGTGCAACAAAATGAAAATTCTGCTGCCGAAATCAAAAATTCAGGATGCACTTGGCCAAAAAAGGTTTTTAAAAATGAATATATATATTTTTTGGAAAGAAATGCACTTTAATGATAAAAAAAAAAAAACACAAAAAAAAACACTCAATATATACCCCAATTTTTTTTCTAAAATATGAAAGATGATGTTATGGCAGGTAAATAGATACTCAAAATGTCATGCTTTAAAACTGCGCATCCTCGTGGAATGGTGTCAAACTACAGTACTTAAAAATCTCCATGAGTGACTCCTTTAAAAATTTCTACAGGTTACCAGTGTAAAGTTACAGAAGAGGCCTAGTGCTAGAATTATTGCTCTGACGTTCGTGGCGATATCTCACGTGTGTGGTTTGAATACCCTTTACATATGTGGGCGTGGCCTACGTATGCGTTCACCACTACATGCAAGCATGGGGGGGGGGGGGGGCACTTTAATTTAAAACTTTTATTTATTTATATCTTTACATTTTTTTTAAAGGAGCAGTGTAAAAACAGTCACTTTTATTCCTTTCACATGCATGCATGCATCACCTGTGATAGAAATAAGTAGTGACAGGTCCTCTTTATTGAGAGATATGGGATCAAAAAGACCCCACATCTCTCCTCTACAATGTAAAGCATTAAATCAGAAAAAAGCATTGATATAGTGCTTTAAAAAAAAAATGGGACTTGCTTACAAGGTGCCAGAACCGGAAGTGACATCGCTCTGGTCCTGCTAGGGCATAGAGATGAGTAGAGGCCATCTTTCCTTCACCTATCTCTATGCCCAGCAGGATCGTTCAGTGGTTTCTCAGGAAAGGCTGAGAACTACTAACCAGTAACGGGTGGCGGCAATGGCGGGGTTATTTTCGGCACCTGTATCCGTGCTTATTTACATATCGGCCAATGGCCCATAGGGGTGCTTTCGGCCAAAACATTTCGGCCAACGAAATTTCGGTGCACCCCTAGTTCTAGTCTTTTGCTCTGAACAGATTCCTTTAACATTTTTAGAATTTTCAAGTAACGATGTTGGTTGATCATTGTACCATGTTCTGTGAACTTGTTGTGATCAAAAAAACACAGCAGAATGGTTTTGAACTAGAACAAGACATGCATGTTTTCTTCCGGTGCGATGAATTCATTCTTTTTCATGGCATGCTCTGGCATTTTGATCATCCCGGAAACACCACGATTCATCACTGGTAATAACCTTATCAAACACCTCTGCATCCTTCAAAAGATCCTATGAAAGACGATGTTCTTTCTGATCTTCTGTCAAGATTCGAGGCACCATCTTTGTAGAAAGGTTTCTCATTCCCAAATCCTTGGTTAGAATCCACTGCAATGATTCCCTGTTCATTCTTCTACCATCATTCACTTACTTAATCTCCAATCTGAGCGTATAAGGGCTTGCACGCTATCCACATATTATCCAGATACGTGATGTGCACAACCGACATAGCTCTAAATTCTTGTCTTTATTGACAAAACTACAGTGTAAAGGTTACAGTAACAGTCAGTTGACAGGTTTTACCCTACACGGCTTTAGTCATAACTCTCTGTCCACACATGCATCTGTCCTTTGCATTTTTGACTACTGTTTTCTTGCATCATTGTAGACATCTTCCCACTCCTCCATAAACTGCCTAGGCCATTCAAAAACACTTGAATTCTTCACCGGATGATCACCAGAGCTAAAAATTCACTCACACTTTTGCCAATTTTCAAACAAAATTTGATGTTAATCTGCTGCTCCAGATTCCTCTCACTATTTTTCTGCCAACAGCACAAGTCACACGTCTAATTTCTTATAAATTCCGTAAAGACTGAGTCAACTGGTCTGCGACCCAAGCGAGTGCAAGTTAGAATATGTCAAAACAAACTCAAATGTGAATGGCTGTGTGACTTACCACCATAGTGGTGCACTGCGTGCATTCCGGGAATTAAATTGTCAGACTTCGTTTTTACCAGTAGTTCAGAAAAAGCCATTACTATAACACTAAAGTGGACCTGTCAATTTATGGCAACAATATAAAGAAAATAAGAGAAGGACATAGCAGCTGTATTCTTCAAATAAACATTTCAGTGAGGTCAGCATGTATAATGGTAATGCCTGTCCAGACTCTAACATCCAGACTCTCATACAAATATGTCCAAACTCCTTTAGAAAACAGCAGGCTACCATAACAGCAAGAAGTTTAGGTTTGGGATACGTATACTTACCAATTGCCACTTTTGATGATGTGCTATGATGCTTGTACACAAAAAACGCAAGAACACCAAGCAGCCAGGTTTTCCATTGATATAGTAGTAACTTGCAATCATATTACTTTCCGTATATGAAGGTTAGAATGCTAGTGTTTGCTTGATGACTTCACTATATTACCTTGCTAAGGTCTTTGGCAGTCACTCCGTCATCGTCACGGCAGGGTAGCTTGTGCACGAATGCTAGCATTTGATACTTGGCACGGATAAACTCTGACTTCGTAGGGCTGCAAGGAAAAAGACCAGCTGTCATGTAACGTCTTGTATCAATTCTTTTACTCTGTTTGTTGTGCATTCAATATTTTGTGTTACCCTACATCCTATTGTGACCATGCAATATTCCCAATCACCTCTGTCTTAAATTCTATACAACCAACAACAGAAAATGTGGGTGCACAATAAGGAATAGATGCACCTTTAGGATAGAAAAAAAAAATGAAAACATGCTTATAATGTGGCTCTTCATACCCGCCTGAACCAAACCAGCATTTTCAGCTCTGCAATCATGATTTCTATTTTGTTATAGCTCAGAACTTCCCTTAGTGATCAGCATGGAACTAGAGAATCCTCAGCATCCTTTTACATATGCCTGATCCCTGCTAAAAATCTATGGAGAGTCCAAGGCTCTGCAGCTTTGTTCCTAAAAACACTGGAAACATTCATATTCTTTAGGCTTATTGTTCATTAAAGTGATTATAAAGGATTTTTTAAAATAACAAACATGTCATACTTGCCTACACTGTAGAAAGGTTTTATATAAAGGGTGGGTTGGGGCACTGGAGCGGGTTCAATCATAAGCCAAGCTCTGTGTGTCCATTGGCACACAATGTGGCTTGACCCCATCCCTCCTCACATGCTGTGATTGACAGTAACAGGAACCAATGGCTCTTATTGCTGCCTCCATGTCCACCGAGCAGGGAGAGAGCAGAGGGCTGCTGCTCGTGGGCACAGCGCTGGATCGGGATCAGGCTCAGGTAAGTATAAGGTGGAGCTGAACACAGAAGGTTTTTTTACCTTAATGCATTGTTATAAACCATCTGCCTTTAGAACCACTTTAAATGATATGTTAAAAAAAATTCCCAAAAGACAGAATTTCAGCATGTTGTTGACAGTGAGGCAGACTATACACTAAAAACATGCACATCTAAATGAATGCCTTTTTTCATATAACATATGAAGAGCCCAGTATTCATTCACTTAGCAGAGGCTATTAATCTGGCATCACAAAATATGAACTGGCAGAAGAGCTGAGAATCACAGTCCAGGCCCAAAGGGATAGCATGAGTAAGGAAAACATTGTAATTCCAAACTTGTTTATTTTGGATGGAGATAAGGTGTGCACTTATTCTTTAAGGCAGATGAATGTATTGTACATTATATTTCATGATGACATTTTCTTAGTGAATAAACTGTATGTCAGGTAGCAACTAAAAAAACAGATTTTTCGTTCCTTCTCTTCATCATGAGTTCCCTGTGACAAGTACAAAGAAATGATGAGGAATGTACCTGTTTATTAAACAGTGAAAGGAATAAAAATGTCTTGTCATCTTGACAGGCATGGAGAAAAGCCCCCTAGATTTATCAGTAAGTCAGACTTTGCCATAAAGGCGTTTTTTGGAGTGAAACACTGAGAAAAGAGCCATAAAGCTACCATTTTACACATTAGGCATAACTCCAGAATTGCCCATGCTGTAAAGCATACTACTGGGTGCTTTGCAGCATGTAGCTCCGGATTTTCTCCACCCATAACCCTCAGGGGGAATTCATTATCTTTAGGACTGTTTTTATGGTGCACAGATGCATTATGAAAAACATACAACACAGTCAGTGGCAATTTTTTCTGCTGCTTGCAATGGCCCTACTTAACATTTTACTAAACCCACAACAGTAAAATCTGTCTATGTGATGCAGCGTGCTGGTTATACTCACTGTGGAACCTGAGGGCCTAATTATCTGCAGCGAGTAAAAAGGCTGTTTAATCTTGTCTTCTCTAATCCTCCCCTTCTTCCACAATCCCTAATCCAGCTGCTCATAGTACACAGTCTGAACATGCTCAGTTTGGTGTGTATTGCTAGAGTGTGTTTTTTGGGAGGGTGCATGTGATCAGTACAGGGTCAATCAGCACAGTCCATGCAGAGGATCAGGGGTTATGCAGCCTCATAGGACAGTCAAACGAGAATGAAAACTCTTCCTACAAGATTAGTAACCAGTGCTCAAAAACAAAAAAAAGAGAGGGTGCATGTAATCAGCACAGAGAGAATCAGCACTGCCCGGACAGAGGGTCACAGGTCATACAGCCTTTTAGGACAGTCAGAGGAGAATAAAAACTCCTCCCACAAGATTAATCCGTGCTCTGCTGGACACTAATAGAAGTCACAAGACTGCTCTAACTGCTGATGAGAAAAGGTATTTACCAGTTTATATTTACTAAAATAATTGCATTTCCATGTTCTGTGTACTGTGGGAGACCAGATATAGTGAATGCAGGGTCCTGGACTTAGTAACCCTTTAAGTGTCTGGAGAGAGTTGAAGAAAATAAAGACAGTTATTCATCACTGATGTAAGTTAGGAAAAATATAAATTACACACTGAAGCTTGTCTTGTGGGTTGGCTTTACGGCGACCACTCTGAACCTGTGCTGGGTCTAGAAGAGAATGCTCCCAGATTGAGTTTGCTCCATTACTGGCCAATGTGTGCACCATCTGTAGAAAGGAAAAAAAAGCCATAATAGGAAATAAGGAAGAACAGTTGGCAAGAATTCTGAGAACGAATATATCACAAAAAGAGTTTAAGGACCAGCATCCCAAAAATAAAAGCATTTTCACTGCGGAGTGTTGCTGTTAGAACGTTTTAATACACCGCTGTAGTATAGCAGCTAATTTGTACCTATATGTCGGTGGAAAATCTTGTATGTCTTCTTATTTTTCTTTCAATAAAAATTTCTTATGGGGAACAAAAAAAAGTTTTTCCCTCACTTCTTCCTACAGCTTTTTACCAGACAGAAAATAAACTAATCTCTCCAACAAAGTCACTGAATGCAGTACATTCTAAATACACTTTATGTTTACCATATAGAGGGCTTAATTCAGGAAAGACTGTTGCCTGCGATGTTTGGGTCACATGACATTTTTACTAAATATTGCATGCAACACTGAAAATGTCAATTCACTATCCCTTTATGCGTTATTTATCTTAAAAAGCAAAAAAACTTGGTAAATATCATATAAAACAGCATTAAAGTAATTTCACTAAAATATATAAATGCATGAGTTAAATAAGTAGTGGTCCAGGGATGCAATATTTAAGGAATGTATGAAATTTCACCTGATTGTTAAGGATCCCCCTTATTCCATACCAGACCCTTATCCGAGCATGCAGCCCGGCAAAGCCAGGTAACCCTGAGCAAGCATTTGATTGTGATTGACACTGGGTTTACTTTGGGGAACTTTTTTCTGCTTTTTAAAAAAATTGGCTCCACAATTTTATTTACTTTGGTAAACGAGTTGGGGTACTATGTATGTGCTAGGATCTGGGGGCCTCCTTCCAATAAGTCACCACCCACAACAACCAGGCCACAGTTGTGGGAAAGAGGCCCTCCACCTCAACAAGGGTACCAGTTGCTTCCCAGGTGGTCCGCCCATGTTGAAGGCATGTTGCCTGGTATGGTTCAGGAGGATGGTTCTAGCATGCTGGGCACATGCTCAGATAAGGGCCTGGTATGTATTGGTCTATCTAGTTAACCCCCAACATTCCTCAGGATATTGGCTGACAGAATCTAGGCCTAGTCATGAACAGGCAGATTTTGACCCCAAAACAATGGGAAGGATATCTGCCCATCTTCATGTGGTGTACACACACGCACACACACACAAAAATAAATTGGTGAAATGGGCTGATATTACAAGCTATGTTTGAAATTGGGAACATTGTCTGCTTTTATCAAGAAATTTGTGATCCGTCTAAAGCTCTGGAGAAGGAGGGAAGGAAAGTCGTGGCATTGAAGGATGAGATGCCCTTTAAACAAAAAGAGAAATGGAGATGAGGAAAGAAAAGTTAGGCAGTGTATACCCATGCAAGGGTCTTGTTTGCCTGCACAGGAATACAAAGCACCCACATGCATGTCAAATTGAGCGCAACAGCTGTGTCTGTGCATACAATGCTTCAAAATTGACATGAATATAATTTCCAGCATGGTGATGCTTGGAAAAACCTGTGCATCCCCGCACAGGCAAACATGGCCCTTGCACAGGTGTATGCTGTAGTATGCCCATGTGAACAAGGCCTTAGAAGAGAAAAAAGTGGGGAATTGCGCATTTGGCTTATCAAAGACTAGCCCCATATTTAAAAAAAAAAAAAAAAAAAAAAAAGGAACCAATGCTCAGCTTTTGTCAGACAGCTGTTTTGTGGAGTTCTTTATACACAAAAAAAAAAAAAAAAAAAGACACATACTCTGTAAAAAATACCGTCTACACAACATAAATTCGCAACAAAGCTCGAGTATGAGCACAGATGTACTTCCATATGGTACACAAGATTATGGGACCATGTGATTGCGAAGGAATAAAACAGAGCAGTTTTGAAATTTGCTCTTGTAATGATAATAATATGTAGAAGTAAAAAATATACTGTAAACAGGGACACAACTAATTAATATAATGCCTGGCTAAATTTTCTTTTGGACTGGATATCATATCGGCTAAATTTGAAACAGCCAGATTATGACTGACTATTGTTTCCTATGTTCCCTAGCACAGGGCTTAAAATTTCAAGTCCTGAGCTACGAACCTTAAGAGTTACTCGCCACCAACAAACACAGACAAACAGACACCTGTACACACACAGACATGTACATACACACACATACAGACACATGTATACACACACAGGCATGTACAGACACGCATACACACAGATACATGTACATTCAAAGAAATACACATGCACAGACACATGTACGTACACACACACACAAGCACACACAAGCGCGCACACACACACACAGACATGTACATACACACACAGACACATGTACACACACACATACATACATACACGCAAACACACATGTACATACATATACATACACACACACGTACACATGCATATACATACATACACGTACACACACATGTACATGTACACACACACACACATACATGTACACACACATCCCATAAAAAGTTGCAGTACTTCGTTGTTCACTCACCAAACCAGGTACTGCACTCTAGGGGGAGGCAGAGAGCACAGCACACACTCCTTCCTTTGCTTTCACTGCGCTCAGCTATTGAGCAGTCAGACGGCTCCCAGTGCCAATGACAGATCCGGCCTGAGCTCCGAGCCTGCTCAACAAGATGGCCCTGGGGGACACACTTGCCCCCACCATAATTTCCACTCGCCACTGACGAGCAGGCGAGTGGAAATTTCAAGCCCTGCCCTAGCGGTGACTAGCGTTTATTCAGCACAAAAAAACACCATTCACCACACATGTGAACCTGTTCTGTCAAATGGTCTAATGTGTAACAATATTTCAGCTGTTTTTACAGATGTTTTACATTTGATGATCTAGACAGCACAGAAGGAAGCTTTTAATACGCAGAGCTGCCCATAAAAAGCAGAATACTAGCTATCTTTGCAACCGTTCCCTGCTGCAAAAACTCCAAGGACCACCAGGGAGACAACTCCCCATTGATATTACATTATCAATACTACATTAAACAGTCCATTCATCAGAATTACAGAAGGTTCTACAGAAAAGTTATTTAAAAGATGGTTCTTCATGAGCTGCTTTGCAGTTTAACCCTTACCACAACAGACTGGACACTTGCCAGAATATGACTACTTCTGAGCAAATAAAAAAAATATTAAGTGTTTTAAGGGCAAGACATATGCTTTGCCTCAAACTATGTGTAGAATGAGAAACTGGCAAAGGCCTTTGTCCTACCGACATCAGCTTGAATCAAACAGCACAGACCCTGACATATAGGAAACTGTTTTTTCTTCATTTTATATCTATAAAAAACACACACACCCAAATCTAAGTGTTCCAAATTCAGGACAGACAATGAAAGCATCTGATGATGAATTGGTCCCTCACAGCTGGACTGTATTTCAGGCCTAACTCTCTATCCATGCAGTCTACATTACGACATGTAATATAAAGCCATTCAGCTGGCTACTTTTACACATCACTCAGGGAAACTTCAAGCTTACCAGCTTCTGCTTAGGTATACCAAGGTAAAAAGAAACATAAAAAAAAAAAATGAAAAAAAATCTTTTAAAGTATAACTAAAGGGAAGTGTTTTTTTTTTTGTTTGTTTGTTTTTACGTTTTGGATAAATCGATAAAGATTAGAACACCTGTCAGGTTTTTATTGCTTTCTGTGCCGATATTAGAGAGACTCGCCTTCTCTTATTGTCCAGTTTACCATTATCAACGAGAGTAAAAGTGAGAGAAAATCCCAAATTTTGGGTTGTCACCAGAACAGGAAGAGAGGAGAAATCTTCCAATGGGAACACTACTTCTGGTGACCCTGCTGACAACCATGCATTCTCTGACTTTGGAGGGATTTCCTTTCACTTCCTATTTTGGCTATTGAACGTGAAGTGAAGGGAAATCTTAATGAGACACACATGGCAAAAAAAAAACAACAGGGGATATAGCCCTCTATTACCCTATCCAAAATAAAAAAAGTTTTGCCTTTAGTTCTACTTTAATGGAGAGGTTTTTGGGGGTGTTTAAAAAACTAATCTCCATATTCCCCTCTATGCTTCAGCATCAGTGAAGATGCTGCAGGTGTCCCATGTCAGCTCTAGGACCTGAAACTGAGTGATCAGTGACCGCTAAGCGCTCAGTTCTCAATCTGCTCAGAGTCAGCCAACACTCCAGTAAGTGCTGGAGGAGCAGAGAAGACAGACATAGCTGGCTCACTGGCTCTCAGCCAAGCTGAGAGGTGGAGCCAGCTGTCAATATTGTCGGGATCCTTCCAGAGCCTGAAGCGGCACTTCGTCAGCTGAACTCAGGCAATCGTACAGGAGAGCAAAATTAAGTGCACTCCTGTGACAGTACTCCTGAGACAACACTTAGGTGACAGCATTTTGGTGAATCCAAACTGTTACAACTAAAGCTGGTCATTGAAGATTAGATTTATTTAGCTTTTATTTAATTTCATCAGGTCAGGATAGAGAGAATGGGGGGTTAGAGCCTCTGATGTGTTGTGTAAAAAAAGAAACACAATTTGCCACTGCTCTACATGGTTCTACCCTTCTTACAGTTTGAAGGAGCAGTCATTAGGACAAGTGCTTCCAAGCTATACAATGATCTCATTGGTTACAACAGGAGTGAGAGAGAGCACATGCACTGCACATGTGAGGCCCTGTTCTATCACAGTAGCAAGATGGGATGGAGGCATGATAAGCAGTGGCTTCTGGTATTAGGAATATGGCCCAGAGGAGAGGCATGATTATAAGATCTGATCTGCATACAGTGTTGCTAGGGTGCAGTGTGACTGCATAATGTTTTCTTAGGGCGCCCCGATACCTGGGTGCTGTAATACAAAAATGTTATTTTGCTGGGGAAAGTAAAGGGATACCTGCTACCTGCCAGGGCTGATCTCTGGTCCTTAAATTTGTCAAGCGGCCTTAGTGAACCAGTAATTAGTAATGGGAAGCAATAAAGCAAACCAAGTTTCTCACCAAAAGTCAGT